TGTTGGTTTTCAATTATTTCCATGAATTTCCTTCTGGGGCCTGGATATGTGGAGAGTTCCCTCCAAGTGTCTTATCCACCCTCAATTCTCATCACCTGGTAAGTTCGTATTGTGTATTTAATGAGTGATGAGTGAATAAATCTACATTTGTAACAAGTACAGTTCTGAAGCCCAGGGTCATAAACAGGGAATAAGAGGAATTTGCCAACTTACAAAACAGAATTAAAAAAACAAAAAAAACTGTGACCTTGCCACTGGCAAGACAACAAGCAGCTGGGCTATTGTTAATGATGGCCCTGTCTTCTGCTGTTGTGTTTGGCTCCTGCTGCCCTAAGCCCTGATGTTAAGGGGGCAAACTCTGGGCTTCCTGGTCTGTAATGGTTGAGGAAAGGTTGGGTACAGCTTATGGACAGAGAAAGAAGCCATTGCAAACATCTGCCTTAGGGTGCCCTGCTGGGTTGTGTTCCCATCTATTTTAGCCAATCATAAGAGCCAGGAGTAGCCACTTTTGTGTGTGTGGGGGGGGGGGCGGATTATGGTCATTTTGACTTCGGGATGATTGGTTAAACCATCCAACATACATTAGAAATAACACTCCATGATGCTTAAACTGTTCCAAGCCTATTTGGGGATTTTGTTTGGGGATAAAGGAGATGGGATTAACACCACCAAAACCAGCTGGAAGAGTGCATTATGTGAAGGAAGACTGGATATTGTCAAAAGAAGGCACCAGAAAGACAACAGTTTGCCTTAGAAGGCTTCAGAGTCTTTGGGTCATAATCCAACAGTTATTTCTGGGGGGGGGGATTTCCCCCTAAGCAGGAAGGGGCTTCTCAAGGGAAGGTGGAGCCCTAGCCTCATCTGTCTCTTACTAGTCAGCTAGTCAGCCTGGATAAGCTGGGTGAGGTGCTACCTGAAAACTACAGTGCTTGGGATGAATAGGCAGGGGAATGGCTTCAAGTTCGAGGCTTGCCTTATCTGCACAGGACTGCATATGTAAACAAGTAGTCACCACACCTGAGAACTGAGGTCCTGGAGAGCCCCGGTGAGAGCCGTGCACAGGATGGGAGATTTAGGTCACCACAGGCTGGTTTGCTAGACTGGGTGGCAAAAGACTCAAACTACCACAGCTCTCTGTTCCGTCACTCTGTGACACCTCACCAGTTCCCATGAGAGAAACATCTACCAAACATGTGAAGGACAAGTGTTTAAGAATTGTTTTGTGGTAAATCGTGGTTATCCTAATTTTAAAATGATTGGTTCAGCCATCATAGGTGTGTGTGTGTGTGTGTGTGTGTGTGTGTGTGTGTGTACATGTATATAAAGAAAGTGATGACATTATTTTTAGATGTTATGAAAGAAAACTGAAGGCATGCTTGTTGAATAAAATTTGGCCGTTTTAGTGTTCATCTTGTTTCCAGGATTTTGCAATAGTGTGGCATCCATTTAAATAATAAGTACGTTACACGTTTCAGTGTGTGGTAACAAGAAGAAATGACTTCATAGCCACTTGGTCTGCTCTGCTGTGGTTTATGATGCCATCTGGATTCTCTGGTGGAATTATTTTCCATCTAAATCACTGTAAACTTCTATTTAGTTTCCACAAATCTGAAGCCAGATCTGTTTGTGGTTTTTAGGGGTGATGTAATTCTGGAACATACTGTGACTGTTAAAAGTTGTCATATACCATCCGTATTTAACTGGGTGTTTCACATAATTTCAGGCAAACTAGAAGAAGCCTGAAAATAAAACAATCTACTTCCCTGTTTGAAGCTTTTACACTCCAGTGTTTCCTGTCTGCCCCGACACTCACATTTGATCATGTATTGGTTGAGATGAGTGGCCAGGTTCTGGAGAGTTAGGAGGCTCAAATACAATGTTTCAGTGATGTATGCCCTTTTCCCCCCTGTGTGATAGAGAAAGAGAACAAATCTCATTCCATTGGCTGACAGTGTAAACGGGAGTGGATTATATTTCAAAGCACATCCATATTTGGGATGTACACAGTGAACTGCACGAAGAAATGAGGCGGCTTAGTTCTTCCTTTCTCAGATCCCTTTAGCCCAGCCGACTACCAGGCAAGAGCAATTCCAAAATTTTCAGCAGTTTCTTGAAGGAACCGGGGGCCTGAGAGCTAACAAAGAAGTCTGAAGATTGCAAGGTCCTGTGTTCTTATTCTGCATTTCTCCCCAAAACCTTATCGGTTTGAGGGTGGAGCGTGTCACTGGTGACATGGATAACCTCAGTTCACAGGGCAAAGGTACAGGAGTAGCGTAGTTCTCACAAGAGCGGGAGAGAAAGCGAGATTTGTGGGCTCGTGTCAGTATATAAATAAAAAGTGATCTGAAAACAAAAAAGCCAGTGGTGGTGGCATAAGCCTTTGTTCCCAGTACTTGGGAGGCAGAGGCAAGGGGATCTCCGAGTTCAAGGCCAGCCTGGTCTACACAGTGAGTTCCAGGACAGACAGAGCTATGCAGAGAAACCCTGCATCAAAAAGCCAAAACAGGAGGAGGAGGAAGAAACTGGTCGGGACAGGTACTTGCTGTGTATTGGAACAATAGGAGGCCAAGAGTAACCTCCATATGAAGGTGCTGCAGTTTCTAAGGTACTAGGAAGGTGTTACTGAAGTCCCCTCAGCAAGGCACAGAGATCCAGGAAACACCAACAAAGGACTACTCCACATATATCAGGACACGTGGAAAGCCTGTGCCTGGGCCCTAACATTGTCACCTTGAGAAATGTAGATTGCTCTAATGTATAGTGAGGACTTTGGACTTGTTGGTCTCCTCAGCCCTGAGATGGGAAGAGCCAGGCATCTGCCTCACCTCCTGGTGCATAGACCACAGCCTGAACATCTGGCAACTGTAATGATAGCTTTCTGTATGTGTGGTAGAACGCTGTCCTCTGGTACAGCATGGCCACGTCCCCTTGAACTCTCAGAATTGTCATTATCCACAGGAGAGCTGCACAGGATGGGATCTGCTGTCATCAGGTCCTGGATGGGAGGAAAGGGCTCTCCAGGCAGCACACACAGTTTGAGGCACCCTTGTTCCCTGAGGACGCAGAGGAAGGTGGGGAGAGGATGTGTGGCCCGTGCTGCTGTAGACGGCCTTTCAGAGAGCTCAGTTAAACTGATTAGTTCGCCAAACTAAACGTGGGTGGGATAGTTTCTTCAGCCTGTCATTGGCACTCTTATCTGGGGTAGAAAATGTCTCCCCAGGAAAAGTCCATGCAGTAACATGGCAAATGCTTGCCAAGTACTTAAAATATGGGGGATACCAGACCAGGCCCTGGTATTACAGCAGTTAGAAAAAAGAAAATCCACTCAAGTTGCATTCTGGTGAGAGTGGTAGGAAACCAAATACATAAATCAACAAGTTAAGTTGGGTACTGATAATCTGTGTGAAGGTAGTAAAGCAGGGTATTGGCCGAGGGGGTGCTATCTGTCCTCTGAACAAATAATGCTCAATTGAGAACTAATCTGAAGGACAAGGATAACTGAGTTGGAGCAGAAGAGGTCTTCAGGAGGGAAGCTTGACTCGCCGAGAGGATAGACAGAATGCAGGCCATTAGGCTAGCAAGGGGGAACTAGAGACAGAGCGGAGCCGGATTATACGGGACCCTGGGAGCAGCTGCAAGGAGCTTGGCCTTTATTTATCTGTTTCACTCGCAGGAAAGCCTGTGTTTCACTCACAGGAAAATGAAAGGACCTGCTTTACATTATCAAAAGATGAGTCTTGGTGATTCTGTAGAGAGTAAATTATAGAAAGATAAAGGGAAGAGACAGGTCAAAAGAAAGTTGGTAGCAGCAACCAAGGTGAAAGATGGTGATAACTAGAGCCACGGAGTAGCAGAGACGTTTGAAATCAACCAATGGCCGTGCAAATACAAAAGGAGGTTTCTGGAAATAAACGCAGGGCTGCCCCCTCCCTCTGTGTGTCCCCGCCAATCCCAACATAAATATTCATTTCTATGCAAGAAACTCATGATAGGTCCTACTGCTCATGGTTTTTATTTCTGTCCAGAGAAGGGGTTTGGGCTCTGTGTTGTCACTTGACTTATTATTCATTTTTCAGTCAATAATTCCTAGCATTGAGGCAAGTGCACTTGCTTACTTCTTGGTCCCGTGGATACTGCTCTCTGCGCCTGTACTCTGCCTCCCACGAGGGAGGTCATTATTTAAGAGCCGAGTGCGCTGCTGGGTTCCACACCACTGACCTGCCCTGCCGATGGAGTACATCCACAGTTTAATACCGCAGCTTCACCCCCAGGCCAAAGACAGCTGACGACTTTACATTTTGCTTATGATTTAGAGGGGTGTGTGCATTGGGGGTCAGCGCGCAACTGTGCAGTCTCTACTCTCCTTCCACTTGGCCTGGGTTCTGGGAATGAACTCAGGTCACCAAGGCTTGCATGAGCCACCGTCCACTACCCAACAGTTGTGTCAACGTAGTCACACAGCGAATGTGGTTCTATTTCTCTACCACCTCAACAACATTAGGTGTCTGTGATTACTGTCCAATAAGTACTTGAAAAATTACTGTTTTTCCCTGTGTTTCATTGTTAACTGCCTGTTCATGTCTGCTGGCTTTGTGTCTCTTCTGCTTGAAGTTATCTGTCCATCTTCTTTGGCTATCTTGTATGGGATTGCTTCATCTATTGGTTTATTGGATCTCTTTGTATACATTAACATGTTACACTCTCCCCGTAATATATTTTATGGATAATCTCTCCCAACATATTGCCAAAAGTAACTTTGCTTAAAGTTCATTTTAAATTTTAATTTAAAAAAAATGAATTTAATTTAAAAATTGCATTTAGGGACCTCTTTGTCATAATCCAATGGTACAAGGTTGGATGAAGCATGCAATAGGCTTTGCACCTCTTACTTTTAAAGCAATTAAGATGAGAATTAAAAATGAATAAGAATATGGGTGCTAACTGTATCTCACTTGAGAATTAATTATTCCTTCATTTCGGTCTCTGCTGTCTCCTTCTAGCACACCCTTCACCGAATTCCAAGAAGTCGAGAGGTTCGGCAGTCCTGGCTTTCCTCTGTGTTCACCACCTTGCACTCCATGTGGTTTTCCTTTCCCCTGGTTTGCCAGCTAAAGCCAGATTTGGTATGTAATCCTGTCCCTTAAGACAGAGAAAGTAACTCTCCTGTTGCTTGTCCACTGATAGTAAGATCTGTTGTTTTATTCAGTGAGTCCCGGCTTTTAAGAGATACAGAAAATGGGTATTTTATATGCACTGTACTGAAAGAGGTGAGAAGTTTGCCTTCCTAGCTACAGTGTAACTCAGTTTGTCCTACTCTTTCTTTTACAATGGCAAGTGCCAACAGTGCCTTTAACTAACGCTCAGTGGCTGCTCACTGTGGTTCCTAACCAGCGCCATGTGCGAGTGAGCCACCAAATAGTTGACTCTCTTTCAATAGTCTTTCTGGTATTTGGTACCAAATATGGTATGTGGTAGTTGGAATTTCATATAAATATTCAAGTTTCCGTAGGAAGGGAGGACAGAAGATAGAAGGACGAAAGCTATCTTGTATCACTGCATTCTCTGTGTCTGTAAACGTCTTGCCGTCTTGCGCCCTCGTGCAGTCCGCGGTAAACTTGCAGGATTCATTGCAGATGTGCAGAGGAGAGAGTGCGGATCTGTGGGTGTGTACCGTAGTGCCGCACATGTTAAATTATACTCATTCCTGTGGATGGCAGAATCCATTAGCTGCTGAAGCTTGTAAGGAAACTACTTGATTCCCAGATACAGGAGTCCTGGCCAGTATAGATTATTCTCGTGAATAACTGAGCCAGAGTGTGTTTAGCTACAGTGGTTTAGAAAGGTTCTCTACCAGTTGCCCTTCATCAGCCAGACTGAAGCTCAAACTCTCATTCTGGAGGACAGTATAAAAGCCCTTTATTTTATACATGAATAGTTCTCTGTGAGGTTTTTGTTGTTGTTTTGTTTGTTTTGACATTTTTTTTCAAGACGGGGTTTCTCTGTGTGACTGTGTAGATCAGGCTAGCCTTGAACTCACAGAGATCCACCTGCCCTCTGCCTCTTGAGTGCTGGGATTAAAGGCGAGCCCACCCTGCTCTATGAGTTGTTTTTTTTTTTTTAATAGTATTTATATACCATGCATTTTTTAAAGTTTATTTTTATGTTATGTGCATGGGTGTTTGCCTGCATGTATGTTTGTGTATCCCATGTGTATGTGGTGCCCATGGAGGTCTGAAGATTCACCAGATCCCAGAGGACTCCAGTTACAGAGGGTCATTTGTTTCCATGTGGGTGCTGGGAATTGAACCAGTGCCATTAGCCAATCTCCCCAATCCTCTCACACTTTTGTCAAATTTAGTTGAACTCACAGTCTACAACTACATTGTTTAGCACGTAGTTGTCAACTATCTTAAAGATTATTGTTAGCTTCAAATGCTTAATTTATTTTTAAACAAGAGACAAGTGGAAGGGGGCAGGTCATTTTATTTATTTTATTTTGAGAGGTGTTAAGTAGTCTATATTTGATATTGTGCATTAACCACACTACAGTGCTTTTCAGTGAGTTAAAAGCAGCAGCCTCATCAGATAACAGGGAATTCTAATTAAATTGGCTTAGTCAAGAACAGTGTAGGCACCTGCTTCCTTGTCTTTAATCATGGCCTATAACAGACTAGTGTGTAAAATTGAGATGGGTGAGTCATGCTTTGTTCTGACAGTGAAGAGAATTTTTCCCATTGTGAAAACATATTCATATAACCAATTATGTTTAAAGCCATTCTTTGGAGCTGGAGAGATTGCTCAGTGGTTAGAGCACTAACTGCTTTCCAGAGGACCGGAGGCTGATTCCTGTACCCACGAGGTAGCTCAGAACCATCTGTAACTCCAGGGCATCTGATGCTGTCTTCGGGCTTCTTCGGGCACCAGGCATGCACATAGTGCACAGACATATACATTAAATTTCAAGGCAGCATTCCTCATTTCTGTGAAAAGTTGAGCATTACTAATTAGATCCAATCATTTCTTTATTTTTACAATTTATCTATTTATTTATTTTATGAGTATTTTGTCTGCACACCAGAAGAGCACATCCCATATTCCATGCGACTACAATTACAGCTGGCTGTGAACCACCAAGTGGATGCTAGGACTTAAACTCAAGACCTCTGGAAGAGTAGCTAATGCTGTTACCTACTGGGCCATCTCTCCAGCCCCCCAATCATATCTTTAAAAGGGTTGGAAATAGTAATAACATCTAGTAAATAAACTGCTATTTAAAAAAAAAAAAAAAAGGTCAGCCAGGCATTGGTGGTGCATGCCTTTAGTCCCAGCACTTGGAAGGCAGAGGCAGGCGGATCTCTCTGAGTTTGAGGCCAACCTGATCTTTCGAGCTAGTTTCAGGACGGCTCCAAAGCAATACAGAGAAACCCTGTCTGGAAAAAACAAAACAAAAGATCATATTGGACTGGGTATGGTCATGTACAGCTTTAATCCCAATACTTGGGAAGCAGAGGCAGGAGAATCTATCTCTATTATGAAGTCAAGGCCAGACCGGTCTATATATCAAGTTCCAGGACATCAAGGAATGTAGAGTAAGGCCCTATTTCAAAAACCAAACAAATAAGCAACCAAAAAGATCATATTCAGTTTACTATAATCTAGCTTTATTTTAATCAGAAGTAGCTGTCCAGCAAAAATATTGTTACCTTTCATACTCAGGCTTCTGGTTCATGACTTTAGTCCTGGTACATATCAAAAGCCATGAGACTTTTTTTCTTTTTGGGGGGGGATGGAAGTGGGGGGACATGTTCAGAAATAGGTTTCTCTGTAGCTTTGGAAGGTGTCTGAGAGCTTGCTTAGTAGACCAGGCTGGCCTCGAACTCACAGAGATCCATCTGCCTCTGCCTCCCCAGTGCTAGGATTAAAGGCATGTGCCACCACCACCTGGCTTGAGACATTTGTTTTCTAATAAATAGGGCATGGCTATCACTGGTTAGCAACCCCTTTAATATAAATGGTTAAGTCTACCCTTTCTCCCTTCTTAGTCCTAGCGAAGATTACTTTTGTTCCAGGAGTGTCCTTTTGGGGCTTCTCTAAATATGCCATCAGTGTGTTCTCTCTGAAGGTGATGCCTATATTATCGGCATTTGTGTGAGAATCTTGGTGTGTCTTCCTCACAAACAGCCCATGCAGATCTGGTCCTGCCTCCTGCTTGCCTGCGCTTTCCACAGTGTGGCACTGAGTGCACTTTGGAACAAAAATCTCCACGCCTTTCTCAGTATTAGCCACTTATCGTTCATTCTTCCATTACTCAGCCTGATGGAGTGCAGCAACATCAGAGCTCAGAAGGAAGTGATAAAGTGATGGGTAATGTCTGCTGTGGATCTCAGTGACTCCCTGGCCTGGGTTTTGTTTGGTATTGCAGTGCTGGGGATTGAGGCCAGCTCCTCAGGAATGCTAGGCATGTGTTGTCATGTGTCCGCTCTAAGTTCCCGATCACCCAGTAGTATGCCTTGTGGGTGGTGGGACACTTGGCCCCAGGCCCATTTTGCCTCTTACATTATTGCCTTCAATTCCCTTTGAGGCCTGATTCACCTTAAGATAAAAAGGACTGGGCTAGCTATCTTTTCCATTTCTTTCTTAATTAGTTTCATCAGTGCTGTAAAATTGCTTGTAAAAAGCGTGTATGGGATATTCTCATGTCGGTGAGAAATAAGAGAGGAAGGAGGTGGAATACGTGGAAATACTTCTCCCCTCTTTAAGTAAATGAGTTTTAAGAGTCACATCAAACTTGGATGTTGTTCGGCAGCTACTTTGATCTGGTTGACTTCACCAAATGAGCCTCCACTTCAGAAAATCCCCCTAATGGAACAAAACTAGAGACCCCGCTACCCTGACAGAAAAACAACACAAAATTCTGGCCTCTATCCATCCACCGTCCACTGAATGTATGCGTCTTTCCCCAGTTCAGATGTTGTACCGGCAGGACTGGGTGCTTGGTGTTCCCATGAGACCAAAGTAGAGTTTTATAAAAACATAGCGACTAGAGAGTGGTGGCTGCGAGGGACGGTCACACATTTATAGTAAGGCTAGAACCTGTACTACCATCAGGGACAATTAAAGCCATGTTGAGTGTGCCCCAACAGTCCTCAGAACAAAACCAATGAGGTCAGACTGAGAGAGATCTGCAGTCACACTTTTTTTTACTGTGAGCCTTGCTATGTTCACAGCCGCACCAACGTGCCTGAATTCCCAATTGCACCAGATACCAACGGCTGCAAACGTCCTAGATTACTAAATAAAATAAATTACAGTACACTCTTCATTCTCTGTTATTTAATGCCTGTAGTTAGCAAGTTTTTTTGTATGTAGCGTGTTGCCATACTCTACAGTTAACTGTAATTTTGCTACTGTTATGAATATTAATATAAATATCCGTGTTTTTTTTATGGTCTTGGGTAACCCCTGTTGAGAATTGTTAGCTTAAGGGAAAACTCACTATTAGAAAGGATAGCTGGGCAGTAGTGGTGCACACCTTTAATCCCAGCACTGGGGAGACAGAGGCAGGCGGATCTCGTGAGTTTGAGGCCAGCCTGGTCTACAGAGCGAGTTCCAGGACAGCCAGGGCTACACAGAGAAGCCCTGCCCGCCAGCCCCCCCCCCCAAAAAAGAAGAAAGGATAGCACAAGCCTTTAAATTGCTGGAGTTGCTGAAACAGCTGAGAGCTTTTCTGCTTTCCTGGAACTGTGCACCTGTGCTCATAAGTAGTCCATCTGCTAGCCCATTCGGCTGTCTTCACGTAGTCATCTGCAACCTGTAAATAGACTGCCCAAGTTGGGGCAGAGCAAGTGCAGGATATAGGACACTCTGAGAGCGCTGAAAGGACAGTTCTGCCCGGCGCCATCACTGGCCTGAAGTGACCACTTCCGTGTGCTACACCTGAGCACTTGCGTTGCCGCTCAGGGTGCTGTCGCTGCTAGGCACATTTAGGGGGTGAAGTCCCTTGCCGCAAGTCTGCACCATTCCGAAATAACTGAGCTGGAGCTAGAACCCAGACCTTCAGATTCCGAAGGGCTTATCCACCAGACCGGATGCTACGCCATCAATTCTGGGTCGTACCTTGGAA